CCCCCCCCCCCCAACCTCCCCCAAGGAATTCAGGTTGCCATGTGAATGTTGAGTTATAGATAACAACATTTTCAAAATCATCAAAGTGACCTAGGCATTTAAATGGTATTGAAAGGCAACAGATTTTAAGTGATAAGCTAGTTGGGGATTAAAAATGTTATCTATAGTACTTGAATAAGGTGCTCAATTTTCTTTGGGTAACCTGTGTTGCTTTTCATTATGAACAGTTGTTACAAGAGCCAGGTTACTGTAAAGTAACATAAGCAACATTCAGTTTGCCTCATCTCAATTTGTGCACATTCACTCATGTTTATGTGCCCACATCTATGCCACCAATCATCTCCTCCCTGCTCAGGAATACCCTTCATCCAGGTGTGAGGCTCAAGTGTTCTTGGTCCTTTCCCACTTGCACCATGGATAATGGGAAACTAGGAGGGAGAGCCCGAGGCACAGCTGTTCAATGGATAAATCCCATTTAGGGGTATTCAACTGGCAGTGCAGTTTGCTGTCTCTCACATCAGATAGGACTGTGTGGGGAATTGGGATGATTTTTCTGTTGGTAGGTTGTGTATGTCATGTGAGACTCATTGAAGTACAGGGTGCTTGACAGTTTGCAATAGTCCTAAAGCTAGCAATGATTGCAGCATTTCTTCTTGGTAGTGTACACATATATTGCTGTGTGTAGGTTTGTGAAGCACTTTCATCTTTCTGGAGGAAATTTATTGGAAAGTAACAACCTTACTTCTATGTAAGGTGCATGTACTTTCACCTCTTTATCACTGTATAAGGATGGTGTTTAGTTTAAAAACAAAAAAACTCCAACTGGTTTTGATGCTCTCTTTGAAAATGAAATAAATGGTATCATAAACAAATGCATTTTTTATTCATTTAGTTACATACTGTTATTCTGAGAAGTGGTTATTTGAGATACCTGCACATTTAATATTCTGTCTCCTTTTCCACTCTGTATAATTGCCCATCCTCCTATTAACACAGTGTATTATGTGGCTTTATTATTTTGGGTTTATAAAACATGCATCTATTATGGCCAGGGTGCATTCTGAAACTCCTTAAACTTGTATATGAAGAAATATTAAAATTCACCAAAGTCAGTTCATTGGTATTGGTTCTCACCAAGTGTAGAGTCAGGCACACATGAAAGT